AGGCTAAAAACAGGAGGATCAGTACAAGTCTGGGCTTCATAGTGAGACCCTGCGCCAAATACATTAAAAAAAAAAAAAAACCAAACAATTAATTATTAACTGTTGTAGATGTGATAACAATGGTAAGAAAGTATCTTTCGGGCTGGGAATATAGCACAATGGCAAGGTGCCTACCTGGCAAATGCAAAGTTCTGAGTTCAATTCCATATTCTATTTTTTTCTCTCAGTGTGGGGATGGAACCCAAGACCCTGTCCCTGCAGAGCTAGCCCCGTGTGGCCGAACCACACTTCCCGCCTAGAATGTCCACTGTTTTAGCAGGTAGGAGTCTGCTGAAGAGTGCAGCCATGCTGTGTCCTATTGTCTGTACACTACTTTCAGTGCTTCCAGAGGAAGGTAGCTTGGTAAAGATGGGGCCAAACGTGGGCAGAATTGCTGAGATCCTCAAAAGTGAAGAATTACTGGGCCAGGGGGAGGTGTCGTGGGAATTCATTATGTTTTCTTTTTAAGCTGGCTCTTGTTTTTTTAATATTTCATGATAAAAAGTGAGCAGGAGTGTGGGTGGTAGTACCTATGTGTAGTCCAGGCACTCTGGGAGGCTGAGACAGAAGGATCCTAAGTTTGAGCCCAGCTTAGGCAAATTAGTGACTTAGTAAGACCATATCTCCAAATGAAATATTTTTTTTAATAAAAGTCTGGGGTTGTAGGTCAGGACAGAGGTGCTGGGTCAATCCCCAGTGCAGAAAAAGAGAGTTAAGGGAAATTGTTTTAAATTTTTAAAGTACCTAGGTCTTTCCACAGATGGTTGGGGACTCTCATTAAAAAGAAACTACTGTTTCCTTCTTTGAATTTTGCTAAAATAATGGTATCTGGCATTAATGAGAAGTGAGCGCCAATGGAAGGAACAGCTAGGTTAGCAACATAGGAAATCCAGCACTTGTGAGCGGCCTATGTAAATTGCAATAATGAAAATGAGGGCTTTCACTGCACTCTGAATAGTCTAAGAAATATCCTATTTTGGATACTCTTGTTTTTCTCTTACCTTCAGAACTGACTCAGAGAAACCATGTAGCTCAGCCTAGGTCAAAGGGGCCTGGCCTGATCCGCAGGGTGATCATACTGTGGATGTGAGACAGTGTCGCTGGGAAACATCAGCCAACACTGGCCTCTCCTGTTAAACAGCTCCACTTATGCAACTCCAGCCCTTCGAAGAGACGTGAAGGCCCAGATATAGCTCTGTGGCAGCAGCCCCTGCCTGGCAAGTGCAAGGTCCAGAGTTCCATCTCTGGTGTCAGAGAGAGAGAGAGAGAGAGAGAGAGAGAGAGAGAGAGAGAGAGAGAAAAGAGAGAGAATAAAGAAAGCAAAATATATATTAGGTCAACAGATGTAGATCAATGCCTGGAACATAGTGAGTACTACACAAATTCTTCCTGTTGTCATTACTCTAGTGAACATTTTATTTATTATTTTTAAAATTATCAACTTATAGTATGAGGGATTGAACTCAGGGCTTCTACACTGGGCTATATTTCCAGCCCTTTTTACATTTTTTATTTTCAATCAGGGTCTCACTAAGTCACTAATTTGCCCAGGCTGGCCTTGATCTTGTGATTTTTCCTGCCTCCGATTCCTGAGCACTAGGATTACAGGCACGCACCACAAATCTGGCCGTAGTGAGTAGTGTAAGAGCTTGTTTAAAATGATCTGGCCTAGATGCCAAGATACATTAAATGAAAAATAAAAAATCTCATGCAAAACAGTCAGTGTGTTTAAATTTGTATTAGCCAACAGTTGTACAAAATAGTTGAGGGAGAGAATGGGGCAAAAATGGGGAAATTTGTCATCTAGTGACACATACACCAACCAGAATGCCTGGGTTTGGCCAGAAAGCTAGATATGGTGGGTCTAAAGTGTTTGGATGAGTGAAAAATTTTTACACTGTTTGAATTTTTCCCTTTATCATGTGTGCATTCTGCTTAATTTTATATATATAAGAGAACTAGCCTCTCAGCCCTGAGGTTCCGAAACTCGCCTGTCACCTTGCCTGTGTAGCTTATACTGACTGCCCCTGGGGAATGGCTCACCAAGGGCTTGTTTCAGAATGAGATTTGGAAAGTGAAGAATGAGGCTTAGAAAACTCCAGTGCTGTTGGAGGAAGCTCTTGCTAACAAAAGCATTAAAAAAAAAAAGAAAAAAAAAAAGTGATCAGTAGTGAGATACAAAGGACCTGTTTCCTTCAACTCCCAGGGTCCCAAAAATCAGACTCAACAGGGTTTGTCTGTTCTCATTTTAGGCAGAGCATGTGCTAGTGTTGAAACCCTGAAGTGCTCTATGTGACCAGAGGACATATGTGGCTCTGGACAGCAGTACCAGGCTGACTGAGGCTAGTTCCATTTCTTTTTTGCCTTGGTTTTTGTCTTTTTGAGACAGGGTTTCACTACACAATTCTAGCTATCCTTGAACTCACAGTAATCCTCCTGCCTCAGCCTCTCCAATACTGAGATTACAGGTGTGCACCACCATGCCAGGCCTAGTTCCATTTCTGGAGGCACAGTCTCCTCAACTGGTGGATAGGAGTTTCCAAATGAGTGAATCCCTGGGCCAGATGCCTATGAGGGAGTAAAGCCCCAGCTCAGAAGGAAGGGGCACAGAGTACAGGCATTCAGAAGTAATGCTGGGCTTGCCCCATTTTGGTAGGCAGACTGTTCCTGGCAATGGAGTCTATTGGTCACCTCTTCTAAAACCCAGCTACAGTTTTATTACTTTTTATTAACACAAGTGATGAAAGTCTCCCATTGAAGGCTTAAGTCCTCTTGGAACACCATAACTAGCTCTGGAGTGCTGAGAGAAGACACTGTCACTATGCATGGCCCTCAGACTTCTCAGGTGCTTCATCCTAGGCATGTGGCTCTGGGCAACACAGAGTAGGAGTGCATGCCTGCGAATTGCTTTTGCTGTTTTTTGACTAACAGTAAGGCATCATGCTGTGAACTCCTTGTTTCACTCTACAATCTGCCTTGATGAGCTTGTAGATCCCTGTTACTCTCTTCAGTTGCTGTGTGTCCTGCTCTTCATGGCCTCTTCCCGCTATAGCCATACTCTGTAGGTGGGCATTTAGATTGTCCAGTCTCCTACTATCACTAGCAAAGCTTCAGAGATGGAGCATGTCTGGGGCACAGGGGAGGTGTATGATCTAAATTTTAATAGGTCTGGCAGTCTACCCTCCAAAATGGGGCTGCCCAATTACATCCTTCAATGGGAAGTAAATTCACTTTTCTGTAGATCACCCCCAGCACCTGATAGGACCAACTTTTAACACTTTGTCAAAGGCAGGCAAGATAGCTCAACAAACTAAGCACCTGCTTTGGCAAGCACTGGGACCAGGGTTCGCTACCTGATCCTGCACACCATGCAGGCCCCACCCCAGGGTGCACTGAGCCAGCAACTGAGTCTAGGCATGGTGGCCCACATCTATAATCCCAGCGCTGAGGAGGATGAAAACAGGAAGATCAGTATGAATGCAACCTGCACAGTGAGACCTTGTACCAAATACATAAAGATGAAAAAAAAAAAAAAAACTTTGCCAATTGGTGAACCAAACAACCCCACACCCCCCTGCTTGGTGCCAATGATCAAACCTAGGACCACAATATGTCAGGCAAACACACCACCAATGAACTATAACCTCAGCCCTCTGGTAGCTATTTTGAGCTATACATTATTATTAACTATAGTCATCCTACTTGCGATAAAACACCAGAACCTACTTTTCATTCTACCCAGTTAACTCGGTACTGGTTGACCAACATCTCTCTTTCCCCAGCCTCTGGTAGACACCATGTTACCCTCAACTTCTGAGATCAACTTCTGTAGATTCTACCTATGAGTCAGAAGATGTGGGGTTTTTGTCCTTCTGTCCCTGGCTTGTTTCACTTACCATAATGTTCTCTAGTTCTAGCCAAGTTCATGTACATGACAGGGTTTCCCTCCTTATAAAGGTTGAACAGTATTCCATGGTGGATGTCTGCCACATTTTCCTTGTTCACATCTGTGGGTGGACAGGCCAGTCAGTTCCATATTTGGACTATTGTGAATGGTGCTGTCATGGACCTGGAAGTGCCTGCTGGGTTTCTCTCCCCTTGCAGGTTTCAGAAGGCTTGGAAAGGCCCAAGACCCAAACTACAGTACCAGATAATCAGGGCCACAGTGTTAATCTTTGATGTCATTTGTGGAGAACTGAGTGTCCATGAAGAATGTGACTGTAGAATCTTCTCATTTTCACAATGGCTCGTGAACCAGGTGATGTTCTATACCTATTTCACAGAACAGAACGTGGAGGTGGAGAACATTACCTGTGTAAACTGCCATCAAAGTCTAGTGCACACTCAAGACTGGAACTCAGGCTGTTTGACTCTAGTGCTCAGCCTCTTCGGTGCTCTGACAGAAGTGAAGAGAGGGCTAAAGAAGGGCAGAGAATGAGCACCCAACAGGCTTAAGGGATCGATTCTGGGAGGAGTGCCACCTCCACTGAGCCTTGAAGAAGGGCCAGAAGGAGAGGACCAGGCAACGAAATAGGAGAAGTCTGTGCAGAACTGGGGAAGAGCCTGAGCCATGCAAATCTTAGGCTACGTTCCCCAAGAGATGGCCTGGCCTGGGGTGTGTGGTGGGACAGGACAGATTGGCCCTGAGGTGGGCCAGAGGACATCTGAAACTACCCGGACCGCACCAGAGATGTCTCATTCCACTGCCAGGGTTTGACATGGGACTGGGCGGATGCTCTGCGCAGGACAGTGGACAGCGCTGGTGGGGCCCGGGTGCGACCTGTACTCAACACGGCACAACCTGGCTCCTGGGGCTGAGCGCGCAGGCGCGGAGGTGGGAGGGCGGCAGCTGATTTACATCATCCAGGTTGAGGGGAAAACCCAGGAAGTGCAGCTCAGGCACTAATCAAATCTCAGGCTAATAATAAACCTCCTGAGTAATGAGTGGCCTAAGCCAGAGCAGGTGAGGGACCGAAGCCGCAGGGGCCAGAAATGCATTGTGAGTAGAAGGGACTGGCGGGGAGGTGGGAAGAGACCTCTGGGCTTCGGGCCATGTGTGTGCAGAGCCGGAGTCGGGGTGCTTTGGGGTGTGGGTCTTGCTTTCCTTGAGAGGAACCAAGACTGGAGGGTGCCCTAGGTAGAATCGTTCTTTCGGATGGTGTGCCCCTATTTCCCTCTTTCACTGGGTCATTTTAAAGCAAATCCATAACATCAGCTGGTGTGATTCATAGACACATCAAGATTCATCTCTTAAAAATTCTAAACAACCTCCCGAACTGGCTATCATGCCATTACCACTATTAAATGTTACTTAGTAGCCAGTCAGTGTCCAGATGTACCTCACTGTCCTGTTAGTATCATTTTTTAGTTCATTTGTTCGAATCAGGATTCCAGCATGCCCCATTAAATGTTTGGTTGTATGTTTTAATCCAGTCTAGTTCTTGCCCTCTCTCATTATTATTGTTGTTTCATCCTTGCTGATTATTTGTTAAGGATCGTTTATGCTATAGAAATTTATCAGCACAGGTTTGAAAGGTTTGCTCAAAGATGGCGGTACCGGGAAGACCCTGCTGCTTAGAGAAAACAAGAAGGCCCCTGTCCCTCCCTGTGGGTGGATCCAAAGCCTGTGGGGCAAGGGACACAGCCTGGACTCCCAGGCCCCGTCCCCCACAGTCTGGGCTTGGAGCATGCCTTTTCTCTGATTCATATCTGTGTCCTGCAACAACGTCCCCAGACCCGTCCAGAGCCAAGGGCTCACCTACATGAAGTTCTTAAGAGAGCTGGACAGGGCAGTGACTGGAAGTTCCTTGATGCAGGATGAATTCACCCTGGGGACAGGGGCAGGAGTGGGGACCCAACCAGAGCTGTGATCTTGCACCCACAGAGTCTGGCTGTGGAACTGGCTGGCCAGCTAGCAAGGAGTTCCAGCTCTCACAGTTCGTAGAGCTCTGCAACCTTGGTGGAGGCCTTCCCTGGGGCTGGGACATGGAGAGCAGCTGCCAGCCCCTAGATGTCCCTCAAAAACACAAAACCACTTTGAACCTATCAGACCCTTTTTTGAAGAATCACAAGCAAAGGCTCTGAGAAGGCCTTCGGTTTTAAAAATGCTTTGACTTTTAATTAACAAAAAATACTTTTAAAAAATATCTGTTATATTTTTACCAACATGAAATAGGAATATAATCTTGCTTGTAGTTCTCATACAATAATAAAAGTTAACGCCTTCACAAATGAAATTAAAACTAAAAATATAAAATCAATACAGTGCATATGAACCACATTAATTTAATATAACATAAATACCATATTGCTCAAATAGAAAAATGCTTTGCATAAAAGAAATAAATTGCAGGCCAACAACTATAGTTTCAGATCTTATTCTGTTCTTAAACTATTGGAGTGTTTTTACTTAAGAATAATGGTGAGAATGTTTGCATAAACAATCTTATTACACTGATTCTGAGAAATTCAAGGCTTTCCTTCCTCTTTCAAGGTAATCAGAGAAGAGTAGGAGCTCATCTTGTTGCAGGTCCCTTTTACAAAGGCGTGAATTGATTGAAAAAATAGAACTGTCTTTGCTAAAATCTGCAAAAGTGAGCAGTGACCCCAACTGGTTTCAGATTTGGGTCAGAAGTATTCTTGGCTCCTGTCTGTTGGGGTGCGTATTGTTGATGAGCAGCGGTGGAGGATTCTGCAGAGCAGCCCGCCCAGTCGTGGCCCAGGCATGGTTCAGGGCTTTTCTGAGGAGCTTTAGACACTGTCTAGCTGTGACTTCCTTTAACCAAGCATTTTTCTGCTTTGGCCACCGCGATCGTTCTTAGTACGTAGCACCTGGTAACTAGCCAAGCGTGCCAGGAGGCCCAGAGAGGGCTCTAAGAATCTTCCCTCATGGTTGCTCTCTGGTTTCAGGGTGCCGGGGAGAGGCTGGGTCTGAGCCCCGTTGTAGCTGAGTGCAAACCAGCCACAGACTCTATGAGCAAGAGGAATTCTTCCTTTCCTCATTGTTCATCAAGGGAGCTTCTTTCTCAAGCTTTCATTTCCCCTGGCTGGTCTCACCTTTGGGGATTTCCTGCCTCTTTCTGGTACAGGATGGTGGTTCTAGGATCTCACAGAGGCCCAGGTGGGTGTAAGGGGAAGAGAGCACCCTCTAGTCAGTTGAAAATCCTCCTTGGGGTCAGTGAAGTCTCTCTGTGTGTCCAGTCTGGTGGCTTTGGTGGCTTGCAGGCCATTAACGGCCCATGAAGCCTCTCTGGGGCCGCTCTTGTGCCATCAAACCTTTTGTCCACTAAGCCACCAATACACAGTGAATCCAAAGTAGGAATTAGTTCCCTCCCTGTCATCTCTTCTCCGAAATTAAAAGAGACCTCTGTTTAATTTTGCTTGATCCTTGCATTTTGAAATTTACTTTTGGATAGGTTAAGTCATGTGGCTTGACATCCAGTAAGAAAGATGTATAACAGGAAGCCCTCCTTCCCGCTTCTCTCCCTTCTGCTCAGTGTCTGCCTCCCTAAGACAAAGAGCATTACAAGACATAATTTGCATATCCTAAAGCTTATCTACGTAAGGTGCACAATTCATATTTTCATATATTTATTGAGTTGAGCAGTCATCACTACAATCTAATTTCAGGACATTCCATATCCCAAAAAAGAAGTGATGTCGCCCTTTACTACTGCCTACTTTAGCCCAAGATTGCCACTCAGCTTCCCATCACTATAGTTTTGCCTGTTCAGGACGTCTTACAGCAGTGGAATCAGGAGATACGTAGCATATTATGACCTGCAGTGTTTTCAAGGATTGTTCTTGTAGTGTGTATCAGATCTTCATTCATTTTCATGGCTAAATAATGTTTATGGATATATCACATTTTGTTTATCCACAAATTGATTGATTGACATTTCTTCTCTTTGGCTCATCGGTGATGCTTCTTTGAACATGCGTATACAATGACTGTGTCATCAGTAATTTGTGTGGGGGGTGAGGATTGGATTCAGGGCCTCACATATGCATGTTAGGCAAGCATCCTGCCACAGAACTGCATCTTCAGCATCTTCATTATCTTTTAAAATAGTTGCGTAACAGTTTAGTAGTTAAGTGTACTACAGTTTACTGACATCAACCCCCTACTGCTGGATATTTGGGTTACTGCCAGCCTTTGGTTATTACAAAAATTGCTGCGAGGCATTCATCAGTTTGGCCTGTAGGATAAATCTGGGATTAGTTCCCGGGTCATCAGTGATTTTGACAAAATATTGCCCTGTGGTGCCCCGTGTGGATCAGCCCTGTTTAGTCTCCTGCTGTAATGAATGAGAATGCTGCTTTGCTTATGGCTTTCGAGAAGATATTATTAAACCTTTGGATGTAAAAACTCTATTGTGGAAAGAAGGCAACCACATGACTGCAGCGTGCCTGCCCTTCCTGAATGAGAGCTCCTCTTAGAGTGATACTTCTGTTCGTTGGTTGTCTCTTCATGTCCTTTGGCCATTTTTCTATTCAGTAGCTGGTCTTTCTCTGTTTTTCCCTCATAGATGAGTTGCAAGTATTTGGTCCTCATTGTTTATGTGTCTTTGGATTTTCCTGAAGGTGTTTGTGTCTATCAAGAAGATTTTTCTTATTTGATTGCTTATTTTTTGTTATCAGTTGTATCAATCTTTTATGGATTTTGGAATGGAGTAACAGTTAAAGGCTTTCCATACTACAAAGCTGTAAAGGAAACATTCAATGACTTCCTCTCTATACCTTCTTACATTTTTATTTTGCTCACTTTTAAACCCTTGATTGGGTTATTTCTCTAATCTGGGAGAAATTATTTTCTTTTTATGTTTCTGCCTAGTCAATTTCTTTGGAGTTTGGAAAGCAAGAGCCAGGATTCCTGACTTTCTGTTCCTAGCAGGACCCTCTGTAGTCCTCCTGGGATGGAGGAGGGACGGGCAGGAGGGGTTGACACAGAAGAAGAAGGTGCAGCTGCGCCGCTCTCAGTTTGTGCAGAGGACAGCTATGCACAAGGAAGTCATTCGGCAAGGAACACCTTTGTGTGCCTGGCATTTGAGAAGGTGCTGGATGCAGAGAGGAATGAAACAATAGAAGGAAGCAACATCTATAAGAATTGTAGTTGCTAGTGGGTTACCACATGATGCTTTGACACATGTGTAAATTGTGTATTTAAATCAAATTATAGGAACCAGGCATGGTGGCACACATCTGTAATCCCAGTACTAGTGAGACTGAAACAGGAGGATCACTAGAAGTCCAAACTGCATAGCAAGACCCTATATCAAAAACAAAATAAAAAAATAATAAATTAAATTATAGACATCTATCTTCTGAAACACCTATTTCTTTTTTTTTCCACCTATTTCTTTATGGTAACAACTTTCAAAATTCTTTCTATAGCTTTTGGAAATGTAAAGCACATTATGACTTGTGGCCATTCTCCTGTGAGTGTCTTGCTTCTATCTAACTGTAAGAATACTGTCATTAATATTATAACTCCCTTATATTATTATAAAATGATCATTATGGGCTGGTGAGATGGCTCAGTGGTCTAAAGCACCTACTTACAACAAGTTTAGCAAAGCATGGGGACCGCAGTTCAATCCCCCAGCACCACATGCCAGCCAGCCCCGCCCCCTGGTGGGCTGAGCTGGCCACACACACATAAATAAATAAAAAATTTTAAAAAGAAATAAAATGATCATTATTAGCCCATTACATTTTATCCTGTGTCTGTGAGCATAACCATTCATAGTAATACCAGGCTATAAATCAGCTACGCGTCAATCACACACGGGAGACACCTGTACAGGGAAGTTGCTGATGCCCTGTCAGGTGAGAGGACGAAGGTCTTGTGTGGGCCAGGCCCTTCGCTAAGGTGGCTCAGCCCTTCTGTTCCTCCCACAGACATGTCTCTCTTGCACCCTGTCCAACATATGGCGAAATGGTTTTCAGCATGAGCTAACGCAGAAATCACAGCAGATACAAATGGCTGTCCCCACTTCA